AAGTTTTTTGAAAAAACATTTTAATTCATTAATATTTCAAAATATATCTCTCAACTTTAAAAAATCTTTTAACTTTTAAAACACTTAACCTTTAAAAAATCAATAGTAATTCCTTGCTCTTGTCAAATATCCTGCCAGCGTTCAAACTTCTAATTGCTCATAAAGATGGTATTTCTTTATACACTTAAAAAACCAGGATCCAAATAAGGTCTACACATTGTGATTGATTTTGTCCTATATGCCTCTTTTTTTCTTAAACTTAAAAATCAATTGTATTGAGATATAATTATTCCAGAAATGCAAGGTTGGTTCAATACCTGAAAAATCAATCAATGTAATTCACCACATTTATAGAATAAAGGAGAAAATCATATGATCTTCTCAATATATGCAGACAAAGCATTCAACAAAAGTCAGTCCCTACTCGTGATAAAAACTCTCAATAAATTAGGAATAAAAATGAACTTCTTCACCTGATGAAAAGCATCTATGAAAAACCTACAACTAACATCATGCTTAGTGGTGAAAGACTGGATGAATGCTTTCCCCTAAGATCATGAACAAGGCAAGGATGTCCACTGCCACCAATTCTACTCAACACTGTACTGGGGGTCCTCACCATTGCAATAAGGCAAGAAAAAAAAAGGCACAAAGACAAGGATGGGAAAAGTAAAAACGTCTCTATTCACAGATAACGTTATTGTGACATAGAAAATCCTATGGTATTTACAAAAATATACTAGAATTAATGAATTTAGCGAGGTTGCAGAACACAAGTCCAGTGCACAAAAATCAACTGTATGTCTGTATACTTTGTTGTTATTGTTAGTGTTGTCAAGTTGATTCTGACTCCCAGTGACCCTGTGTACAGCAGAGCAGAACCCTGCCTGGTCTTTTTGTGCCATCTTCTCACCTTCTGGTGCTGTATCAGACAATGCTGTGCTGCCATTCGTAGGGTTTTCATGGCCAGTTTTTTCGGAAGTGGGTGGCCAGGTCCTTCTTCCTAGGCTGTCTTAGTCTGGAAGCTCTGCTGAAACCTGTCCACCATGGGTGACCCTGCTGACATTTGAAATACTGGTGGTATAGCTTTCAGCATCACAGCAACACACAGCTGCCACAGTATGACAACTGACAGATGGGTGGTGCAGTTCCCTAACTGGGAACGTACTCGGGCAGTGGTGGTGAGAATGTCGAATCTTAACCATTAGACCACTGGAGCTGACTATCTACATACTAGCAACAAACAATTGGAAAATGAAATTTTAAATGTCATTTACAATGGTATCAAAAAGCTTAAAATTCTTAGAAATCAATTTAATGAAAGAGAGCAAGACCTGTACACTGAAAACTATAACACATTGCTCAGACATCTGAGCCAAGATGGATCTTTTGACCTCCCATTGAAATTGAGGCCTTTTGTACCACCCATCAAAGATGCCCCAACCTGCCAGGTCTTCCTCCTCTCTAAACAGAAGACTTGGGTGTTTGCCTAAGAATAGGACTCCACTTGGCAAGTCATCCATGGTGACCAACAAAATATCCATCTCAAAGCTGGGCTCTGGAGCAGCCATACCTGTGACCCCAAGAAGCCCTGTCTCTTCTAGCACCAAAGGTGACCTTGTTCACACTGATGCCACAGACCTCAGACCTTTCCCATAAGAGCCACACATTCTCTCCCAAGTGGAGGCTGTCCAGCCCCGCGCAGTCCATTTGGAACACCTCCTCACCTGCAGGGACCTGAGGAGGCTCCAGCTCTTCTAGCTCTGCTAGTCTTTGTCCTTAGAAGATTCTTACCCGAGATTTCACATCAAAGAAAGGAGCCGTTTTGTGACACTCAAGGGCATGTATTTCAACACTATCTTAGAGATACGCTTCTGGTTTAAAATAAAAATTGAATTTAGCACAAATGACGTTCATCTCAAGATGTAGCCTCCTACACATTGACCTGACTGTTTGAGTTTCTTTCTCATTGGTCATGGAAATAGCAATTAATACTTCTGAATAAACAGTTTTAAGTTTTTTTAATGCTGGAAACTTTCAGAAGATATAAATAAATGGAGAGCTATACCATGATCATGGATTGAAAAACTCAATACTGTTAAGAAGTGCATTCTCCCCAAGCTGATATGCAGATTTATTGCAATTCCCAATCAAAATCCCAACAGGCTTTTTATATAAACTGACAAGTTATTTCTACTATTTATATGGAAATGAGAAGGACCCAAAATAGCCAAAACAGTTTTGAAACAGAACAAAGTTGGAAGATATACGCTGACTTCGAGACTTACAATAAAGCTATAGTAATCAGGATGGTGTGGTATTGGCATAAGGATAAATAGATCAATGGCACCAATAGCGGTGCCACGCAAGCTCACTTACCTGAGAGGTGGTGTATAGGCTCCCTGAGGAGCCCTGAGCCCGGTGTGGTGAAAGGCAAGGCTGTGTGGCTCAGCCCACGCCCCAGCCCTGGACCCTGGAAGCAGTCTGCAGGGTGAGGGCAGGGGCAGGGTGCGGAAGTCCGCCTGGCAGATGGAGGGTGCAGGTGGGAAGTGGCTCATCCAGGAGCCAGCAGTCCACCTTCACCTTGATCTCTGCCTCTGGGCCACCATCCACCCTGGGGCTCAGTGGGGGGCGCCCCTGCTGGCAGTTGGCCCCCTGTTTTCCTCTCAGGACAGCTGTGACCTCACTGCCTCTCATTGTACCAGTGCCTGTGTGCCAGGAAGGGACAGTTCCCTGGGCGGAGCCATTTCCACAGCAGGGAGTAAAGGTCCCCACTGCCTGTGGCTCTGGGACTGGGACCCTGGCTCCTCTATTAATTCAGCTCAAGCCTGAGCTAGAGCAGAGGGTTTGGGCCAGAGCTTCAGACACTGGGTTCTAGTCCTGCCTGCCACTTACATGCTGTGTGGCCTTGGGGAAGATACACCCTCTCTCTGTGCTGCAGGTTCCTGTCTGCAAAATGGGGATAACAGTAATAGCAACTTCATATAAGGTAGTCGTGAAGATTAAAGGAATGTACAGAGAATAAAAGAATGCTTGGTGATAACCAGAAGGTTTGGTTATGGCCCGGATCCACCCAGATGTCCTAGGGAATACGACCTTCCCTCCTCTTTCACCCCCGTGCCCCTCACCCATCCATCCCAGACTGGCTGGGGCTCACCCCTCACCCTGCCCTCTTTCCAAGGTCTGGGTAATGGGGCTTCTCTCTGGGGCCACCACTGACTTTGGGGAGCTTGGGGGAACGTCAGGCCTTACTGTCTCAGTTTCCCTCTCCACTTCCTCTGTAATAACTCCAAGGAGGTGGTCCTCACCCAGCCAGGCCCTCCCCAACTTTCTCAAAGGGCAGTGACATCTTAAAGGAAGAAGTGAGGATCGAGGACCGAGCAGAGTGGTAGGATGGAGACCTAGAGGAGACGGTCCAATGCTCTGCTCCCCCGGGGCAGCTCTGAGAGGAGGAAATGGAGCTGTAGGGGGAGGAACCTGCCCAGTGCTGCCCGACTGCTGCCGCGGATTGTTTTATGGCTGTTCCTCACTCGCTTCCTGCTGGTGTGGCAGGCCAGGGGCTCCTCGAGGCCCAGAGGCGGCCCAGTGAGCGAGCTAAAGGGGCCACTGCTCACAGCACCTCCTGGCAGGAAGCTGCCTCAAGTCACCCAGCCCCACGTGGCTCGTGGGCGCCCCCTCGCCATCACAGCCCCCTCAGGGGTTTGGATGCCACAGGCTGGGGGGCTCATAGTGATTTTAAGCTGTAGCTTTGCTTGTAAATTGGTTTGATATCTTTTCCCTCCTGAAGGACTCACAGCTCCTAAACTGACAGATATGCTTGAGCGACTAGACGGGAGTGCGAGGGGTGGGATGGGGGACCGGCTGGCAGAGGGACTGAGAGGGACAGTTAGCAGCCTTCACCCCTCTCCTCCGAAGGTCCCTCTCTCTGGCTGCTTCTCCGTTGCAGGAAGGGGCCTGCATCACCTATCCTCCCACTTTTTTCCACGATGGCTGAGTGACACACCCAGTAGTGCCGCCAGGCCTGGGCTCCCACCTCCTGGGGGTTCAGGGCTGGGAGGACTTGGGAAGCTGCCCTCTGGGTGAGTCCTCACTCCGGCATTGCCCTGGACCTGTTGGGACCTGCTGTTTTACTGGGTTGTGGTTGCAGTGACTGGTGATCTGGGGCCTGTAAACCAGGCTGGGAAACTTCTGAGGCACAGAAGCTTCTGAAGGCCAGACGGGGGCCACAACTCCCTGTTTCTTTTTGCAAGAAGCTTCGCCTCTGTGAACCTCAACTTTCCCTGCCCAATGGGTTAGCAGTCGGCCAGTCTCGTATTCACTATTTACTGGGCGCCCTCGGGAGTCTGGTCAGGTGCCAGGCTCTGGGGAGACAGCCAGGAGCCAGCCCAGGACTGAGGATGAAACCTCGACCTTCTAGTGCCACCTCCGCTTCGTTTTTCTCATGGTACCATGGGTTCCAGCTCACCGGGACTACTGGGGGTAAGGGAGGAGCATTGAGGGCAGCAGAAAGGCCACCACGAGACAAAAGTATGCAGGAAACTCACCGCACCTAAGGAACTTTTATCCCCACTCCCACCTCAAAGCGCTTGACCGCTCCCCAAGGGCCAGGCGGCAAGTCTCTGGCAGGACGGCTGCGGTGACCCCGCCAGTCGCGCGGGTTCCAGCCACCGCCGAGCCCTAGGAGCCGCCGGCCCCCGGGCCACGGCGGGGAGACTCGCGCCGCGTGCACCCGCACCGTGCGCCCTCGGGAGGCTGTGCCGGCACCAGAAGGGAGGCAGGAGCGTGGAGGACTGGAGGAGGGACAGGGGAGGGGAGGACGAGGGAAAGGGGGAGGGGCAAGAAGGGAGGGCGAGCCGGGCCCCGCCCACCCGCAGGTGGCCGCGAACGCTGAGCGGCTCCGCTAGGGGGCCGGGCCCGGGGGCGGGGCCCGTCGCGCGCGTCCCCCACGTGTCCCGGGTCCCCGGCCCTGCCCCAGGCCCTGGGTTTATAATCCCGGAGGCCGGCCGCAACTAGCCCTGCTCCGCTGCCTGCCGCCGCCGCCTGTGTCGCGGTAAGGAGCCCCCGGCCCGGGAGAGGCCCAGGGTCCCCTTCCCACTCCCCAGCCTAGGACACCCTCTCCCCGGATCCCACCGAGAGCGAGCCGAGGAGGCGGAGGGGACCCCTGGGCTCGGGCAGAGGACGGACGCCCGGGCGCCTGCTGCTCAGACGCCTGGCGGCCGGATTCCTGGGTTCCTCGGGGCGCCGGGATGGGGCCGAGGCGCGAGTCCGGGGGTCTGTTGGGTTATTTGCCCCCTTTGTGGGCCGAGGACCTTTCTGGGTTTTCCTTCCCTGACCCAGCTTCCTCTGTGCCGCGAACCCCCCAAATGGAGACCTTGGGAGTCAGGAGAGGGTAGGGGTTCCCGATTCCCTCGCCCCTCTACCCCCACCCCGTCTCTGTCTCCGCCTCTTTTTCTCTGCGTGAAACCAGAGTTCCAACCCCCCCTCTGCCACGCCTCCGGTACTCTTGGGCGTAACGGCCCCTCCCACAGCCCCGAGCCTCAGTTTCCCCCGGCACGTGGGCTCCTGGCCCGGGCCACCCGCCCCAGTGTCTTGGGTGTGGCTGGGCTCCCTCCGCTGAGGGGCGTCAGTCGCGGGCTCTGCCTCCTGAAAGGGCTTTGCGCTCCCCGCCCAGGTGGGGCCGGTGGCCTCGCGGGCGCCGGGCCGTAGGAGGGGCTGCTCCGCAGGAAACGTCTGTTCGGGCTGCTGTTGCCTTTGGCCCCTGTGGCGGCTGCGCCCTACAGGGCGGAGGGGGGGGTGGTCATTGTGCAATGGAGGAAGCTCTTGTCTCCTGCGCTGGGGCTCGCTGAGGAAGTCCCAGTGACCCGAGGCCACCTCCGCGTCCCTCTTCGAAGTGAGCGCGCCGCCTCCGGAGCATCGCGGTCTGGCTGCACATCGCCGGCAGCAACAAACCCGTCCTTTCCCCCGGGAGGGACCAAATGGGCCCCGGGCCTTGATCCCTCCCCTCCCAGCCCGCGGCTGGTGACAGGAGAGGGCGGGTCCTGGAGGCCAGCAGACCGCAGCCTGGAAGGCAGGCACAACCGGGTGAGGCCTGGGGTCAGCCTCCCAGCTTTCCGGGCCTCAGTTTCTCCGTCTGCCATCCCGGCGCAGGCTCGAGGTCAGGAAACAGTAAGGCTGTGCAGGTCTCTGTAGACTGTTGAGAGCCGTGCGCGGTGCTCCGGTCCATTCACCTGCTGTGTCTGGAGAGTTGCTCACCAGGGACGTAGAGCAGGAGACAGGCCTCCTACCTTAGGTTCTGGGGTGGGGGGGTAGGGGGGACAGGAATTTTGATGATGGACAGAAACTGTAGGCGTCTCCATTCTAAACTCCCTCAGACCCAGTGCTGGGGGGCCTGGGGGTGGGGTGGGATCCTGTCCTGTGCTCTGTGCTGAGAAGTAATTCTGGCTCTGCTCAGTGGTAGTTAATGAGTGGCTGCAGGCCAGGCACGGGGTGGGTGGGGGAGGTGGGCCCCCACTCAGCAGTCTGAGCTCTCTGAGTCTCCCATGTGCCCCCATTAACTGCCTGCCTGCTCTGGGCTTGTGGGGTCAGCTGGCTCTGCTGGTAACGGCTTTCCCTGGCTCCGGGCCCCTGGAGCCTGACTCCTTGTGGGGGGCCAGGCCCAGACTCACCTGCTGTGCAAGCACTCCACCTGCCATGCCCCCTTTCATCTTCGCCCCCTGGGTCCCTGGGGGCAAGCCAGGACAGCCAGCTCCTTCCTCAGAGCTCTGGGCACACAGCCCCTAAAGTGAGAGCCTTGCCCGTGGGCACTCATATGCAAAGAGATAACCTCACTGGAATTCAGGGTCCAAGGCTCTAATTTCTACTGTAACACTGGCAAAGTTGATCTTCCAGGCCTTGGCTCCCTCCTGTGGGGCAGGATCCCCCCCAGACTTGGGACAAGCCAGGCACCCATAGGCATTTCAATATTAGTAGTAGAATAAACAAATGGTGAATGCACCCTTTCCTCCATAAGCAAATGCTCTTAGGAGAGAGTCTGAGTGTCTGTCAGCAGGGCTTGGTGAGATCTAGTAGTCTCCCTACCACCTGCCTCAGGGTATTGACACTGAAACTAGAGACTCACCCTCTCTAAGCCAAGGCAGACACAGGAATGACCCCTAACCTTGGGTGGAGGAAGCTTGCTGGAGTGCTGGTGCCCCCAAGAGAGCCAGTGTTCCTGTTATGATTCTTAGGCCCCAGGAGTCCACAATGTGTAGCCCAGGGCCAGCCTCTTGCCCTCAGCTTCCTCATCTGTCTGTCGGGAAGGAAATCCCTCTCCTTTCTGTCTCTCACCAAAAACAAGCAGACGACGTGAGCCGACGCTGTCAAGCAAATGTTACAGCGGCACCTCCTGGTCAAAATGTGGAATTGCATCCTAGCTCTATTGGACAAGGGGGGGAGCGGCAGTCCCCTTGTCTGGGGCTGCAGTCCTAGAATGAGGAAGCCCCAGATTCAGGAGAATTCTATTGCCGAGGTGGAGCCAGGGTTTTTCAAAGCTGTGATGGACTCAGCTCAGCTGAGTTAGAATGTCAGGGAGGGGTTCCAGAGGAACATTCACTGGCTGTAGCCCTGACGTACAGAGAAGCAGAATACTGATGGGTGATGACTCGTTGGGGGCTTTGTCTTCTGGAAGGCGTGTAAGGTGAGGGGACACAGTCTGTGGTCTCCTGGAGGCTGGAGTATAGGGCACAGAGCGGTAAAGAGCAGGCCGTGTGCAGTCAGCCTGGGTTTCAGTCCCAGCTCTGCTGTCCCCTAGCTTGTGACCTGGGCAAGTCACTTCACTTTCTGAGCCTCAGATTCATCATCTGTAAATGGTGGTCATAACAGTCTCCACCTTGAAATGACGCACGTGTGGCACTGGACATAGTATCTGCTCTTGTCATCGTCCCAGCTTTGACCTTTTAGAGCCGTGTGAATTTTCTTGGTGTTGAGCAAGTGCCCGGGCTGGCCTGGTGCATTCACAGGAAGCTGGCAGGATGGCTCCGGCTGGGGCCACGGAGAATGTCCCCTGCCTTGCCAGCTAAGGCCGGGCTGGCAGGCATCTTGGCATGAGGCCCCTTCTTCCCTCCCCCCAGGTGTCCCTCTTCCGGTGAAGGGTGGCTGGGCTGGCACTGGGAGCTGGGGAAACCTGCCCTGGTCCCTTCCTGGAGGGGGTGGGGGCGAGGCTGGGACTCAGGGAGGCTGAGTACAGCCAGGATCTGCTGGACATCTCCGCTAGGCAGGCCGCCCGGTGTCCAGGGGTGTCAGAAGCGGAGGGCCTTTCAGATTGTGGTGTGGGTGGTGAGATCAAGGCCTGGAGAGTGAGGGACTTGCCCAGGGTCCGCCACGGCCGTGGTAACGAGAGGTTAGTGGGCACAGGCTTGCTGCCCGGCTCCCGCAGCATCTCACGGAATCCTCGCAGTCGCCCTCTGCGGGACGGGCTGTGCTCGCCTGCCCCCATTTTGCAGGTGAGCAGCTTACGCAGCTCAGGGCTGCAGGAGCCGGCCACTGTGCTTTGCCTGTAGTGAGTCCTCACTCCCTGGCCTGTGGCTGCTGTTTCTTCTCCTCTCCCTGTCTCTTCCTCCCCCAGTTGGAGGCCTCAGCTTGGTTTTGCACAGGCTCAGCCTCATCACCCAGCCCAGGGGCCTTGCTGGCTGAGGGAGGAGGGAGCTTCACCAGATGCTGAGAGGGCAGGAGCAACGCCAGTGTCAGATTGCATCATTTTCCCAGCCCGCTTGCCCTGGTAATCTCGGTGCACACACAGGCCCAAACACACCCACACATGTGCGTGCATGCAGGCACACACGTGCAGGCGTGCACACACGTTCACTCTCTCAGGTACACACTCCCAGGTGCATGCATTCTTTCACACCGCTCAGACCCGGAGGCTGAGGTCCTCCGTGGGCGCATGTGCACACAGCCTGCCAGGCAGGAGGGGCTCGCTAGTGTCTGGATGAGAGCATGCGTGGAATTCCAGACCTGCAGGGGATTTTAATCCTCTCTTTTTATAGGTGAGGAACTGACTTCTAGACAATAGAATCAGCAGCATTGTTCTGAGCGCCTGCCACATGCAAGGCAACGCGAGATGGTCCTTGTCCCCACAGAGCTCACAATCGGGGGTGCACACTTAGAGCACAGCATGACGTGTGCTATGATGGGCCACGTACGAGGCACGGGGGATCACTGAGGCAGAGCAGGGCAGGTGCAGGTGGTCTGCTCCACCCCCACTCCGGTGCCCACCCTCTTGGCTCCAGGTCCCTTTGGGAGGTGGCAGAGCAGGAGTGATTCCAAGAGCTGGGTGACTCTTGGGGCCACATCATCTGTCCCTTCTCGAGCCCACCCCAGGGTGTCTGAGCCACCTGCGGCTTCCCAGACCACACCTTGGCCCAGCACTTCCCTTCCCTGCACCTTGTACCCACGAGCAGTGGCTTACGGAGCCCAGCTGATCTGGGCTGGAATCCTGGCTCTGCTACTTACCAGCCAAGCAAGGCCTTGAGCAAGTTCTTTAACCCGAGCCTCAGTTTCTCTGTCTCTAAAATGGGAACAACACAAATGGGAGGGCTCAGCACATGATGGATGTGCTCATTATGGTGGTGGTGGGGCTGGTTCACAGGTGTAGACACCTGCCGGGACTCACCGAACTGGGTGCTCTAAATATAGGCAGTTTATTATATGTCACTTAGAACTCAATAGAGCTGTTTAAAAAATATGCAACAGGTTACTCGCCCCACGCCAGCACACCGCCAGCACCATTGTGTGAGCACTTATGCACACACACACGCGCGTGCGCGCACACACACACACAGGGCTGGGAACACACACTCCGAGTGCTTCCTGGGCCAGGAGGCTGGCTCTGGGGCTCCTGGGCCTCCCCGAATCTCCTGCTCAGCGAGGTTTCTCAAAGAGGATTCTGGCGGCTGGAAAGGCCAGGCTCGATGCCACTGCTATCACCCGGGCTGCCGTGCCTGGCAGCTGAGCAGATTCTGCTTTCGCAGAGTGGTTCGCCAAGCCCTGAAGACGGATTCTGGAAGCCGGGAACCCGCACCTGCAATCCTAGGTACTTCCTACCTCAAGTCCTTCTGCCTCTCTCCCACCTCCTTCCCTCCATCCTTGAGGGCCTGTTGCCTGGCTGTGGTTGCCATAGGCGCCGTCTGCTGCCCCAGAGTCAAGGTCTGGTGAGTCACCCACAGCCCAGGGGCAGGGCCTGGCAGGTGGCTGAATGCCCAGTGGAGGGGAGACTTGTGGGCATCCGTCAGAACCGGCCCCCGCCCTCGCTGTTCCAGGAAGTGTTTCGCTTTCCAAGTCCAAAGGGCAGAAAGGCATGTGAGCCTCGGGGCTGGCCGGTGGGCAGGCCTGGGAGGCCTCGGGGGCTACACAGAGGGGGTGTGTTCTCGTCACAGTCGGGCTCTGCTGCACAGGGTTGGGTGAGGGGACAGCGCTTCACCCCTCTGAACCTCCAGGCACATGGGGAGTTTCCAGTACACAGGAGCCCGCGTCATTGCCGTGGTGGTGGCCAGGTGCCCCATCTGGGCTCCCGTGGATCTGTGGAGGGGTGTCCATGGCCTTCCCCACTAGTGTTCAGTACAGGCCCTGACCTTGGTGAGACTCCCCTGTACACGCCCCCACCAGACAGAAGCATGCCCCTGTAAATGTGGGGTGCCGGGGCCATGCCCGCGGAGGCTGGAACCAGATGGCCTGGGTCCAAATCTGGCCCTGCCGCCTGCCGACCTTATGACCTCAAGCAAGTGACTCGCCTCTCTGACCCTCAGTTTCCTCCTCAGCAAAGTGGGCGTAATAATAGCGTCTGCTCTCAGGGCCACGTGGAGAGTGCTGGGGGAGGCAGGGCAAGCCCTAATGCAGCCTGAGGGTTCAGTACACAGGAGCCTGCTGGACAGAAGGAAGAACGGCTGCAAAGGCAAGGAGACAGGAGGCCCTGGTGCCTTCTGGAAGCTTCAGTGTAGCTGAGGAGAGGGATAGAGTGGAAATGGTACATCTGTCCCCGCTGCAGAGAGATCTGTCATCTGTACCTCCTGGTTACAGAGAGGTATTGTGCCTCTGCCTACCTCTCTCCTCTCTGGGCCTCAGTTTCTCCATCTGTGCCCTGGAGGAGTTGGTCTCTGAGCTCCTTCCAACTGAGCATGTTCAGAGCTGTCTTCACTGGGGTGCTCAGGTCTCCTGTGTTTTTCGGCACAGAGGTGCTTGCGTTTGAGAAGAGCCTGAAATCCCAGTGTGAAGGCTCCTGGAGGCCCCGGGTGGGAGAGACACAGGGGGTGGGGGCTCTGCCCCAAGCATCCTATTCCACCTGCAGGTGGGAGGCAACATTGCATGCTGGGAAGAGCCCAAGTTCTGGAGCCAGACACAGACACATGCTCTGTGACCTCGAGCCAGCTGCTGACCTCTCTGAGCCTGTCTCTGCCTCCCCAGTGGGCATGACACACCTTCTGCATGGGGGCCAGAGCGGGGGTGCAGGGTGATCCACGCGAAGCCCCCGGGGCCATGCCTGGCACTGACCGAGCTTAGCAGAGGGCGGTTCTGATTGGGGATGTCCGGGCTGCCAGAGGCCCAGGACCGAGGCCCCTCTGAGCCGTTCATCCTTCACATCCCGGCCTTGCTTCAAACAGCTCAGCCTCAGGCACCCTCTCCAGCTTGTGGGGAATTGTCTCCAAGACATGCCTACCCCCTGCCAGCCCCAAACTCTGCTGTCAGCAGTCCCAGGCCCCAGCATGGTGTGTGGGTGTGCACGCGTGTGCGGGGTCAGAGTTCCCTGGGGTGGCGGGGGTGTGGCTGCACGAAGAAACAGCTCCTCAGCTGGCAACGGGTGAACATCCTATTCCCAGCCCCCCGGTGGCAGCTTGTCCAAGGTGGGGCTGAGGGACAGCCAGGAGGGAGCTGGCGGCGGGGGCTGGCTCTGGGTCACTCGCGTTCTTGAACTCCCTCCAGACGAGATGTCCGGCAAAGGCTCCGTGGTTCTGGCCTACAGTGGCGGCCTGGACACCTCCTGCATTCTCGTGTGGCTGAAGGAACAAGGCTATGACGTCGTTGCCTACCTGGTGAGGAGGCGCCCGGTGTGTCTGTTTTTCTGTTGTCCTGCTGTCACTCCAGCCGGCCCTACTGCTCTTTGTCACTCGTCCAAGCCGGGCTTCCCCTTTCTAAGCCTGAACTGTAGGAAAATGCTTCTTATTGTACTGTCACTTTCTTCATCTGTAAAATGAGCGTCCTTGATGTCCCCAAGTCCGAGACGCCCCCCAGAGCACGGAGGAGGCCGGCTCTCATCCGGGTGACTGGAGGGCTTGGCAGTGCTGCTGGGCCAGCCAGCCTGGAGCCGGCCGTTGGCTTGGGCCTGCTGAGGGCCGAGAGGGACAGACAGTCTTCTCCTTTCCAGAAGTCCTTTGTCAGCCCCCAATAATTCAGCAAAGATTGTAGAATCCTGCCGTGGTTGGGCTGGAAGAGACCTTGGAGGTCACCTAGTTCTGGGATGGCAAATAGGTCACAGGCCATAGGTCATAGGTTAGGTATGATGCCACTCCCCCATTCAGCATCCATGGCTGAATCCCTAATCAAAGCGGCTCCATTTCTCATGAACCTGGATGTAGCCTCTGAATGTTTCTCCATGTGGCTGTGCTATTCAGGACTCCTGGTAGCAAATTCTAGAAAGCCAACTCATACCAGCTCAAGCAAAAAAACCGAAAAACAAGACAGTTCTTGGCTCATGTAACTTAGAAGTCTAGGGGTGGGATGGCTTCGGGCAAGGCTGGATCCAGGTGCTTATCCAGATCTGTCTTCGTCGCTACTTGGCTTCATTCTTGGCTTCCCCCAGTGACTCTGACAGGAGGGCCCAGGAGTATTCTCATTGGCCTGAGTCACTGCCCACCATGGTCACCAAGGCTGTGTCTTGGAGGGCTCTGACTGGCTATGCTTGGGTCATCGGCCTGCCCCTGCAGTGAACAGGACACGTGATTTGCTTCTTTCCATCCCTGTGGAAAGAGACCTCAGGAAGGAAGGTTCTGTTTCCAGAGGAAGTGAGGATGGCACTCTGGACACAAAAGTTCAGCTGTTGCCAAGCGTGGTTTGTTGGCTGTTACAGTCAATATACCATACAGAACAGCTCCCCGTCCCCTTGTCATTCAGGTGGAGGGTGAGGCCCAGGGAGGGCAAGTGCCTGGCTCACAGTCACCTGGTGGGTGAGGGCACAGCCTTGAGTGGATGCAAAGAGCCCGCGGTGTGTTCATCGAGTGGTCCAGACCCCGGGCCGATTTAAATCTCAGAAAGGCACCTGCAGCTAGGCTCTGGGGAGATTCCAGAGTCCGAGGAGCAGAGTGCCAGGCCAGGTTCTGGGCAGCAGGCCAGAGAGCAGCCAGCAGAAAACAGGTCAGTGTCTAGACAGGGGGCCGCGGAACCAGGTGTCTTGGGACGGCGCTGCACTTGGCTGGGGAGGCGAGCTGGGGGTTGGGCAGTCCCGAACAAGCCGGGCTTTGGGGGAGATTGGGAGAAGAGATAGATGGGTTCAAGGAAGCCTCGGACCTTCAAGGCAGTGACAGCTCGTGTTGCGTCCCAGCAGCCAGGGTACAAAGGGCCGGGCTCAGCCAGTCCTTCCACCCACACAGGCGGCTTCCCAGTCGCCCAGGCAGCTCCGAGTGTCAGCTCCTGGAAGTATCTCAGCTTCTCCCACCCTGATTTGTACGCGGTCTCCTTTTCCCTGTTACCTTGGCCCCTCCAGTGGAAACCACCTCCGTTTGGGGGCTGTTGTGGGTGGACGGTGCTTGTCCAGAGCTCACCCCGGGGGTGGGAGGCTGACATCCTTCTCCCGCTCATTTTTCTGCCCCCTGCACTGATTGGGCCTCTGCTTCTGCTCCTCAGGCCAACATCGGCCAGAAGGAAGACTTCGAGGAAGCCAGGAAGAAGGCGCTGAAGCTCGGGGCCAAAAAGGTACAAAGTAGGATGCAAGATTTGGGGCTGGAAGTGGGGTTTTGACATGGTGGCGGCAGCAGTGGGTGTTCCTGTCCCAGAGCTCCGTGTCCCCTGCACCCCTTCCAATCTGTCCTCTGGATTCCGGGAGTATGAGATCAATTCCTCCTGCTTTCAGTGAATGCCATCGTCTTCCTGCCTCCCCAGCCAGTCTTCCGCCCAGCCAGCCCACTTCCCCCCTCCTCATCCTTCTATCTCATCCCCACCCATCCCTCCATCCATCCATCTGCCCATCCCTCCTTTATCTCTCTGTCCATCCACCTATCCTTCCATCCATTCAACAGAACCAGAAAACTCCAGCTGAGTCCCGTGCGTTGATTGAGCATCGAATCCTGTGGCAGGCAGGCCCTGTGCTGGGTCTGGGGCCCATGTGGTTAACGGGGCCAGCATGGCCCCTGCTCACAGGGGCTCACAGTGAAAGTGTGAGCTGCTCCCGTGGGGAAGTCCCTGGCACCGTGCCCCTTCACTTAGGGGAGTTGGCAGGAGACGTGGCAGGAATGGTGTGAAAGGCCACCAGCCCACCTGTCCAGTCAGAACCAGTTCCCTCTAAAAGGCGCTTATGCAGGGTTCCCAGAACCTGAGACACGAGCCTGGCCCACAGGAAGGCTCAATTAGCATGTTAAAATGAACGTGTGACGGAGTGAGCACCCACGACCCCACGTCACATCACTGGCCACAGGCCTAAACCTGGATGTCCCTCCTCAGGGGCGTGTCCCCTCGAGTCTCGGAGAGGAGTTGTCTGAGCTAGAGACCGGAAAGTGGGGTAAGAATCGCTGGGTGTTGGAGATGTGAGTGGAGTCTCGGGCAACACACGAGGGGGGTTTTTGTGTGAAGAACCGGCCTCAGTTCACAGCTCCAGAGAAGCAGCTCTCAAATTTTTTTGCACTCAGGCCTCCACTACCCTCTTATTTATTTGGAATTTTTTATGCTTATTTTCTTGCATATAACATTCAGAAGTGGTTCCCATTGCTTTTCTTTTCATTTTCATTTTCTTTCATTTGCTTCATTTTTTAAAAAAAAATCATTTTCTTTTGAAATAGCTATAGGCTCACAGGAAGTTGCAGAAATGGTACAAAGAATCTTCTGACCCCTTTACACTCTAAAAAATTATTGAGGGCCCCAGAGAGCTCCTGTGAATTACGTCTATCGACACTGTCACGTTAGAAATAAAAGCCGAAATTTTAAAAATATTAATTCATTAAAAAATATTAAAAACAGTACATGTTAACATAAGTAACATTTTTACTTATGAAAAATAACTATTTTCCAAAGCAGAAATATTTCGTGAGAGTGGCATTGGTTGACATTTTTGCAAAGCTCTTTAATGTCTGGTTTAACAGAAGACAGAGGGATTCTCACAGCCGTTTCTGCATCTGATCTATGATGTGTTGTTGGGGTTGAAATTAGGAAGGAAATTGGGCCTTACAGATGTACCACTGGAAGCAAGAGGAATATTTTTATAGCCTTTTCAGATAGTTGGGGACATTTTTTACTACACCAAGCTCAACAAGTGAGAGTTTCTTGAAAGATCAGTGTGATGGGGAATCTGAAACTACAGCAATGAGTTTTTCATGCATTAAAATCCACTGGTCCAGGGCCGTCCCGGTGGTGTAGTGGTTAAGTTCACATACTTCGCTTCGGTGGCCTGGGTTCTCGGGTTCGGATCCCGGGTGTGGACGTACACACTGCTCATCAAGCCATGCTGTGGCAGCATCCCACATACATAATAGAGGAAGATGGGCACAGATGTTAGCTCAGCGCCAATCTCCCTCAAGAAAAAAAAAGAAAAAGAAAAAAAGTCCACTGGTCCATCTTACACTTTGAGTGGATCTTTTTCCCACGCAAGATTGTGTAACATCATGCGTTGGTCATTTGAAAAACATTGTCTCATTGAGTTATATAGATCTTCCAAATGTTGATACGTTTCCTGATAAAATATCGAAACATCACATTTGTCAGTATCACCACTACTCACATCAGAAGTGTTAGGAAGCTGTCGAGCTCACAGTGTCAGATACAAGTTTTCCGTAATTCTGATTTTTGCTGGAAAGCTTGAATTTTATCATTGGCAACAAATACTCGGATTTCCCTGGAAGTGGCAGGGTCACTTCATTCATTTTTGTAAAACTATTGGCCAAAAACCCAAGTCTGAAGGACCACGTTTTGTCTGTCAGTCCTTCTTCCAAGTATAAAAAACGTTCTATGAAAAAAGTGGCTGGTTCAGCTTGCAACTCACCTTGGAATGCAGCAGAAGTATTTCTTGTGTATTTCACATTTTGTACTTAAGGGTTGAGATTTAACAGTCGTAATCATTTTTACTGCTTCTTCAAGACCATTCTTAAGAGAATTGGCGTTGTGGAAGCGAGGCGTGAAGAACAGAAGTGCAATGCGCAGTTTGGTGCCTCTGCCCTCACTGTTGCTGAGGCGCCAGCCCTTTCACCCATCATTGTTTTTGCATATTCAGTGTGAATGTCCACACAGTGAAAAAGGCACATAAGGCTGAATATCCTTACAAAAAATGTTTTCACTCAGAGTCCCCCGGAAAGGGTCTTGGGGACCACCGTAGGTCTACATTTTGAAAACCATTCCTCATCCAACCATCAGGGTTTCTCAGACTCAGCACAATGGACGTGTGGCTGGCTGTCCTGTGCATTGCAGGATGTTTAGCAGCATCCCTGGCCTCTACCCATTAGAGGCAAGAACCGCCTCACCCAACCTGCCAGTTGTGACATCCTCCAGATATTACCAACTGCCCCTGGAGGACCAAATCATCACTGGCTTTTGTGGATCACATCTGTCTACTGCGCTAGATCTTAGGTGGCAACTGAGTTTCATCTCAGGCCCAGCATGCTGTGCTGGGAGGGGTTTAATAACCACATGTAGTTTCAACTGGATGGTGTATCAGGATTGATTAGCAATGTCTGCCATGAGTGCAGGAGGGAGAGTAACAGTTCTGTGTGCTGGATTGATTAGTGATGTCTTGTACAGATGCAGAAGGAAAAGCGGAGGTACAGCTTGCCAGGATTCATTAGCAGTGTCTGCCTTAGACACAGGCCATTTGAGCCCCTGGGGCTGTCTTCCGACTGGGCCCCGTCCTTGCCAAGGCTCCCTCCCACGGGCCCCTCTGCCCACAGGTGTTCATCGAGGACGTGAGCAGGGAGTTTGTGGAGGAGTTCATCTGGCCCGCCATCCAGTCCAGCGCCCTGTATGAGGACCGCTACCTCCTGGGCACCGCTCTCGCCAGACCCTGCATCGCCCGCAAACAGGTGGAGATTGCCCAGCGGGAGGGCGCCCAGTACGTGTCCCACGGCGCCACAGGAAAGGTGAGGCAGAGGAGGGATGGCACTCGGGGGCCGGGCGGAGGGAGGAGGAGGCAGAGGAGCCTGTGAAGGGGGACACAGGCACCCGGGCGATGGATGGCCCTCGAGTGCGTGTAGGTTTCCCCCACAGCTGTCCGGCGTGCGGCCAGCAGGCTGGCCTATCCGGTCTGAAGAAGGGGACCATAGTAGAGATAGTGAGTACCAGGGGTGACAGCCTCACCCTGAGCTCCGTGTGCGGTGAGTCCCCTGTGTGTGTTCCACACACAGTGGGAGTGATGTCACCCTGTTTGGCAAACTTGATGCTGAGGCTTGGGGACACTGCCAATGGCCAAGGTCACTGAACGTGTGTCACCGTGTGGTGTAGGGAAAGGGTCGGAAACCCCGAGTTAGCAGAGCGGGGTTTGAGTCCCAGCTCTGCCAGGTCCTACCTGTGTGCCCTTGGTTGAAGCCCTTCCCCTCCCGGACCCTCAGTTTCTTCATCTGCAGAATGGGGATAACACCCCGTCTTAGTTTCCCAGGGCTGCTGTGACTAAGCACCACAGCCTGGGCGGCTTAAACACCAGGAATGTGTCGTCTCACAGTTCTGGGGGCCAGAAGTCCAAAATCAAGATGTCAGCAGGGCCGTGCTCCCTCTGCGGGCACTAGGGAAGGAACCGTTCCAGGCCTCTCCTGGCTCTGGTAGCTCGGTGTCCCTCGGCGTGTAGGTGCTTCACCCCGACCCTCCATGTGCACATGGCCTTCTCCCCGTGCATCGTCACACCCTCTTCCCTCTGTGTCTGTCTGTTTCTGGGTCCAAACTTCTCCTTTTTATGAGAGCACCAGCCATACTGGATGAGGGCCCACCCGTGACCTCATCTTAACTTGGTTACCTCTGCCTGGCACAGACCCTACCTCCAGTAAGATCACATTCGGAGACCCTGGGAGCCAGGGCTTCATCTTCTGTGGGGGACACAATTCAGCCTATGACACACCCCTACTCCCGGCCCTCGTGTGTGCCAGCGCACCCTGATGGAGGACCCTGTGGGGTGTAAGGCAGGAAGGCCCCCAGCGTGCTGTCCTGAGGTGGCAGTGCCCAAGAAACAAGACTCTATCAATGCTGACGACTCTCAGGCAAGGTTACTGTAAAGGACCTTGAGTCATGAGTTCAGTGGGTGGACACCACGCGAACAGCCTGGTACAGGAGGTGGCTGCTTAACAGTCCCACATCAGCAGACTCTGAACCTCCCAAGTGACGGGGAGCTCACTACCTCACCAGCACACATGTGCTAACCAGACACTGGCCCCCTGCACTGGGTGACAGTGCTGGGAGGAGCAGGCCCTGGCTCGTTGTGACGTAGGGACACTCGCAACTAAGATTAAGTTGGAGGAGCCGTGACTTGAGGGTGGCCTTGCAAGCAGCCAGCCCACCAGGGTGGCGGTGGTTCGTGTCTTTGAAAGCTCACGCGTCCATTCATTCATTTGCTTGGGCACTGTGTCAGCAAGCTGGTACCGGGTGTCTGTAAAGGCTGGGCGCGTGCTGGGCATGGCAACAGTGTTGAACTTCTTGGTCCCCTTCTCCGCCCTGGGGGAGCCTGTGTCCCAGCAAGGGGGAGGAGAATGGACGCATGATGAGGCTGCTGGAGGGTCCATGCCAGGGGAACCGTGGGGGCAGCAGGCAAGGGACTGAAGGAAGGCGGTCTTACAGAGCACAGCCCTGAAGGATGAGTATAGGTAAATGAATAACGGGGCACGAGAAGAGTGTGCCAGGCAGAGGGAACAGCCTGTGCAAAGGCCTAGAGACAAGAGGCCTGTCTCGAAGCGTGGGGCAGGAGCTGTAGCCATGAGAGAGGCATCAGGGTCAGGGCTGGGCCGTGGCCATGCCACAGGGTTGGGCTTCATCCCGAGGGCAATAGATTAGGAGGTGTGGGAGGGCCCCAGGCTGGACAGGGGGTGGCCAGCGACTCCCCCAGTGGGATGTTGGGGGTTGTTCTGGACTGAAATGGTGGGCTCCTGTGGAAGAAGGGGACTGGCGAGTGTGTCTCACACACACAGGCCCTGGTGTTCACGAACAGCCCAGTTGAGCACGTTTTGAGCAGGATGATGGGAAATCAGAGGGGGAGGGATGGGCATGTGCGTGGCGCCCTCCACTCGAGGGCGGTAGGAGAGGGTGCAGGAGACCCCAGAGGTTCGGGACTCAGGGCTAAGGGGCTCGTACAGCTGTGGTCACATCCTGGCTCCACTTTCACGCTGGGTGACTTCACCCCCATGAGTCATTTCCCCGTCTGTAGAATGGGGATAGAATAGAACCAGCTCATGGGGCAGTCTGGAGCAATGAGTAGGATAATTCCAATGAAGTGCTCAGCACGGCCTGGCACGCGGTGAACCCTCAATGGAAGGGAGGTGCCCTAATCGGACGATTATCAGAACTTACTGGAGGCTCCTGCGAGCAGAGAAAGGTCAGTGAGAATACATGTCAGCACAGAATAGAGAAGCTTCCGAGCCGTCTCATCTGCCCATGATGAGATGAGCTGGGCAGTGAGCTCGCTGTTCCAGGAGGTATTCAAGCCGAGGCCAGATCAGGAATCTGGAAGGGCTCCTGCCTGGAGGAGGTCCCTGCGCCAGTACCATCAGGACTAAGGAGGGTGCATTCAGGGCTGATGGAGTGAATGGGTGTTCTTGGGGTCCAGGGAGAGACCTCCCCCCACTAGCCCCGCACGCAGCTGGGAATAGCCAGCGGCAGCTGTGTGCGTTGTTCCATTTGGCCACCAGAGGGCACCAGAGGCTTGGGTTTGATGCCTCTGGGGCTGACCCTGGAGAGAAGCTGCTGGAGGGGGCCACGGCCACCCAGCGTCCTCTGTTCCCAAGTTGGGTCCTGCAGGGCTTTGGTTCTGAGAAGAACACCCTCTGCAGCCTTTCTGTGGCCCCTTGGGACTTAGGGATGTCCCTGCAGTTCACTACTCAGTGTCCAAAAGAGGGACAATCAGACCCGAAACACCTCTGGGGCCCTCCAAGACCAGCGGTGGGAAGGCCACAGGGGACCAGGATGGCGCGGGGAGGTGTCCCAGTGCTACCCTGGATCTACCCTCTCCTCTGGGGGTGGATGGGCAAGGCATACTCCTGGGCCTCAGTTTCCTCTTATTTACAGAACCTGGGGAAGCCCCCAAGACCCTCCAGAGATAACTTCCTAGAACAGGGAGGTGTGAGTTGGGGGACCGGGGAGGCCCAGTGTGGGTCCAGAGAAATGCAGTGTGGGCCAGAGAGGTGGCGGGGAGGGAGGGGCCGGCCGCCTGCAGGGCTTGTGGTCTGGTTGGCTGGGGTGGGCAGCACTGACTTCACATGTCAGGAGGTGGGCGTCCGGCGAGATGCCGTGTGGCCCCAGAAGGCAGAACCAGGGCGGTGTGGGGTGGGCCGTGGGAGGCTGGCAATTCCAGAGGCAGATCCCAGGACACTTGGCAGGACTTTCTGCAAGGGGTTCACAGTGAGGAAAAAGAGCTGAGGTGCACACAGATGGTGGGGGTCCCCTACAGGCGCAGAGGAGATCCCAGCACGGCCAGTCCTGAGGTCCTGGCCATTTGGATAACTCAGCCACTGGCCTTTCCCAGCTTCTGGCTCCTGAGTTGCGCGATGGGGAGAACCAGTGCCTCGGGGCTCCTTGTTCCAGCGTCACAGGTGTCACCGTCATGCATTCGTTCACTCACTCCACACACGGAGTATTTACCCAGCACTGGCTCTCCTCCACGCCCCAGGATGCGGGTACAGGACGGGCTCGCACAGGCACTCGGGGACCGTGATGCTGAGACGTCTGGGGGAGCAAGAGTTAGCAGTGACACGAAGAGGGAAGGGCACCCCAGGCTGCAGGAACAGCCTGTGCAAAGGCCTGGAGGCGAGTGGCAGCCGCCCTCCCGGGGCCCAGTCCGGGCAGCTCCCGGTGCAGAGGAAGAGCTGGGCTCCACCCTCCCCGTCCCCCGAGCCCCTGACCCCTCCCCGCCAGAGAGCTGCACAGAAGCTGGGGTGGCCCTCTCAGGGCCTCCTCCCTGCCCCCCCAGTTTTGGAAGAGGGGCCTGGAAATATGAGCCTGAGACTTGGGCAAGGGTGCAGGGGGGCAGGAGTTTTGTAAATGGCGCCATCTGTATGGCTAGCCGGGAAGCAGATGGGACGGCCCCCGCCCCCCGCCAGCTCCTCCAGTCCCGGTGGGCGCCGCAGCCGCACTTACACACACCTGCATGTGTATCAGCGCGTGGACACGTGGTGTGTGTGACAGCTACGTCCCTCCTCCCCTGCCCCGGGGAGCTGCCAGGGGCTGCCCTGGGGTTGGGGTCCTGAGGTTGGGGAGGGGAGGACTGGATGGGCCTTGGCTTTTGTCTGGGACAGGGTTTGAACCAAGTGAGCCTGCATGTTTGGCTTCTGCAAGGGTCTCTGGCTAGAAAACAGATGGGTGTCTGCACGCGGGTCGGGAAGGGCAGCGTGTGCCGGCGCTGTGTGCCTGTCCGAGGATGCAAAAGCCGCCGTTGAACGGGGGAAACATGAAGCCGTGGGGACAGAACCGCCAGGATATGCAACTCCACGTGCTTTACAAATCTAAAATGAGTCTGCTTTGTATGGTGGCTGCCACTGCTCCAGAGCTGCGCTGGCCATGCGTCCTTGGGCAATTGCTACCGCCTTGTGCCTCAGTTTCCCCATCCGTAAGATGGGCATAATAATAGAACCTGCCTCAGGGGGCTGCTGTAAGGATTCAGTGAGTTCGTTATGTAGGGAACTCAGACGAGTTTCGTGAACGGGACCTATTAGGATGGGAGTGTTGCCTGCTGGCTGTGTGACCCTGGGCAAATGACTTCACCTCTCTGAACCTCGCTTCCTTCATCTGTAAAATAGGGTTAAAAATCCCACTGGCCCCAGGTGGCTCTCTGGGGTGACAGCCAGCACACAGTGGGTGCTCACTAAAGGGACTGAATGGAGGGTGAGGGGGATCTGGTCCGGCGCCGCTCGTGGCCCCGGGAGGTATTGGAGAAGAGCAGCCTCAGCCGCTCGGCTCCCGGCTCTGCGGAGAGGGCTGGAACCTGTGTTTCTGCGTCGCCTGACAAGGCTCTGGAAAATAACACGTTGCTCCTGCGGCTGCCGGGATGCGCCGTGCAGTTTTCACAGTAGGCGAGAGGCCCCTCTGTTATTTCCGCAGCGCTTGAGTCTCTCCAGCCGCCGAGCTGATGGGAGCAGGCAGGACGCTGGCCACCATTGTCTCTCGGGGCCTGGGCTGGGCTGGCTGCTGCTTCCTCTTCCCCGTCGTCGGCTCCCCGGGGTGTCAGATGAGAGATGAGTCTCCGTTTTACAGGAGAGGACGCAGGCGCAGACAGACCGGACCACCCCCGCAAGGGCGGTGGGCAGGGGGCCAGTACCAGGCCAGGCTCTGTGCCTGCGTCCCCTTCCCTGGCCAGGCCTCTCAGTTTCCCTGTTTGTGCAGAGAGGAGCTGAGGAGCAAAGGGCCCTGAGTGATAGTCTGTATCCACCCCCTCTCCCAACCAGCCTTATATAGATGGGGAAACTGAGGCTCAGAGAGGAGACAGGAGTCCCGATTTTATGGACCTGGGGGGTCAAAGCACCATGAACTTGGTCTCTAGGTTGGCAGGGGGGAGGCCAGGCAGTGGGACCTTCAGGAAGAGGCTGAGGTGTGGGCAGCTCAGGGGCTGCCTGGAGAAGGACCCGGAGTCTCAGGGAGCCGGGCCTGCAGCCCTGCACACGCACGCACCCCCTGAAGTGAGCACATACGTGACGCCATGTGCACGCCCCAATGTGTTCCCAGGTACGTGCACCCTGCACCCCCCTACCTGCCCCACATGCACGCTCACACACCAGTGCACACATGAGTCCCCACAGTCACGACTAAGCACAGGCACGGACACAGGGGTGTCCTGTCCTGCATGCCCACACAGCTCCGCTCCCGACTCAGGGTCCTGGGTTTGAGTCCTGACTACACTTTTGGGGCAGGAACCGGTGTTTCCTCTCCAAGAAAACCCAGTTTTCATCCTTAAAACGGGCCAGTAATAGTCCCCAGCTCAGAAGGTTGTGAGGCTGGAGGTGAGCATGTGTGTGAGAGGAGAACCACCCAGGGGGCCTGTCTAAGCAGCCCTCAGGCTTCCTGTCGAAGGTCATGGCGCTGCCCCTGCCCCCAGCGCCCCCACCCCATTCGTGGCTCCTGACAATCACCGATTCTGTGTTTCAGGGGAATGACCAGATCCGGTTTGAGCTCACCTGCTACTCACTGGCCCCCCAGATTAAGGTAAGATGCTGCTCCTCCCCTCAGGGTGGGCGCCAGGGGCTGCGGCTCCTGGGAGGCAGGGCATGGGGTTCTGGGAGCTTCCGCAGGGCAGGGGCAGGGTGCACCTGCATCTTCTCTGGTGGGTGGTGCCCCTCTTTCCCACAGAGAGCCAGCGGCAGGGGCACAGCCCTCTCTCCCCCTGTTTGTCCTTCCCAGGGATGCTGCCCCGGGGCTGGGGTAGGTCGGGGCAGTGGACAGAAAGACGTGGCTGCCCTTCAGCCCATGTCCGTGTTCCCAGATCTGGCTTCCCGGGTGCGGGCTGGAACAGTTCTGGGGCCTGGTCAGCTGGTGTCTGGGCTGCTCATAGCCCTCCCGGCCCCGGTCAGGGCCACCTGGCTAAGGCCCTGGCTCCTCGCTGGCTGCCTTAGCCCAGACCCCCGACGTCTTGGATCCTTCCCTGGGATGGGAATCACAGGATCTTGGGGAATCAACCGCTGTGGCATGCCACTCAGGTGTGAGAGCCCTCACCAGGACCGCCCAGCCTGTGTCTGCTGCCCCTGCCCCTGCAGCCTGACCTTGGACCTGGGTCTGTGTCCGTCCTTCCATTCGTCCATTCCTTCCCTTATTCATTCCCTCAGTATTTACTGAGTGCACACTTGGTGCAGGCCTCGGGCCGCGCTCCAGGCCTACGGGGCTCAGGCCAAGCAGTAGAAATGTAGTGCAAGCCCCACAGGCAATAGACAAAGCAAGATAAAAAACAACTGACATCATTTTAATAATATATTTTACTGAATCTGTATCCAAAATGGTGTCATTCAACATGTCATCAGTATAAAAAAGTATTAATAAGATGTTTCACATTTTTTTTTTTTGTACTGAGTCTTCAAGATCTAGTGTATGCTTTACACTAGCACATCCCTGATGGGACCAGCCACGTGTCAGACCACGGTGGCCACGTGTGGCTCCTGGCTGCCATATTGGACGGCACAGGTGGCAGTCTGAACTCCTTTGAGGCCACTTCGGGTGAAGCTACAGAAGATGTGCCCCCTCCCAAGCCCCCAAGGGGCTCTAAGAGGCTTCCATTTTTTTTCTTTTAAGTGGAACATCTTTGTCCCTTTAACCTGCCAGCAGCTGCTTGCAGGGTGCGAGTGCCCTGGAGGTGAGCCAGAATGAGCTCTGATGATCTAGTTTGACCGCAAACACGGGGGGCTGAGAAGCCCTGAGACAGTGGCTGCCTGTTGACTTGCTGCGGGCCGGTGGGCGTGGGGACCCTCCCCCGACCCCTACTCTCTGTGTTCCCACAGCAGCTTGGGGGGCCAGAGTGTCCGGTTTCTGGGTCTTTGTCTGTGGAGGCCAAGCCCAGAGGCTGGGATGGGGTGGGGGCAGGGGCCCAAGCTGGTCTCTGGGAGCTGGGATGAGGCCAGAGGGTGATCCCGGTGCCCTGGTCCAGGGGCTGCTCGTTGTAGGGCTGGGGGAGCCCTTCTCCCCCCACCCCACCCCCATCACTCCACAGCCCAGAAATCAAACTGACTTCTCCATCTAGATGACGCTCCCACCCCCGAACTGGGCTGTTGCCATCAGAGGCAGGGGCCTGGCTGGCTCCAGGGCTGAGTGGGGGCTCTTGGGGACCTGTTCCTGGCACCCCCAGGCTGGAATGGGCTCGGTCCCCTCGGTCAGGCTCTGACACCTGACTCCCTTCCCCACCCAGAGCAGCTCTGAGGTGCGGAAGGAAGGGAAGCAAGAGAAGAAGTGGGTGGGGGCGTATATCATCTCCGGGCCCCACCATCCCAGAGCAGGGCCAGGCCGGGCAGCTGCAGCTCCAGGGACCGTGCCTTAGTCCCCAGGGGAGTCCTGGCCCTGTGACCAGGGTGCTAGCAAGGAACTGGAGGGCTGTTTAGTTCAAACCCTCAGGTCTCAGTTGGGGAGACTGAGGCCGAGAGAGGCAGGACCTGCCCAAGGAGACATGGCCATTCTACCATGGAGCTGGGGCCTCTCCACAGCCGCCCCCAGTGTGGCAGGCCACATTCCTCCCCTGACTGTTGGGGTCCTCTGCCCACCCCCCATGGACTGCATCCCCTCTGGGGACACAGCAGGAGACTCCCATGGTGGCCATCGGAGCCACAGGCCCCTTAACAGAGAGGCCAGCTCTGCAGCCTAAGGGCCAGGAGAAGCCAGCAGCCGGGCCCTCCCAGGGCTGACTCTGTGCCCCGTGTCCAGGTCATCGCTCCCTGGAGGATGCCCGAGTTCTACACCCGGTTCCAGGGCCGCAGCGATCTGATGGAGTACGCGAAGGTATGGCTGAGTCCACCACCACCCCAGCCCTTACCTGCTGCCCACCCGGGGCTGCCTCCTGGGGGCTGTCTGGGCCGGTGTCACGAGGCCAGGGCTGAGCCCCATGCCTGGGGGACTGAATCTCTTCCTGCGCTGCCCCCCGTGGCACCTGTCCCCTGGGCCGGCCTCACAGAGGTGTGGTCCCTGCCTGGGCTGGGCCTCTCCAAGGGGAGTCCCCAGTCCCTCGAGTCAGAGGGCGCCTGACCCCCTCTGCCTCCCGTTCTCCCGCCACCTCTGCTGTGTGTCACTCACTGGACAGCCGGGGATGTGAGCGAGGCCATTCTCTGCTCCTCAATTACCTGGCTGCTAATTGTCCCCAGCGCTCTCCTGGGAACAGGTAGGCGCTCCGAGGGGCAGGGGCAGACAAAGGCCTTTGTCACGCCAGCCCTTTTGAAGTACAAGTTGCAATAAAACATATTAGAAGTTTTGCATCAAGATCCTTAGCTGCACCCCGGGGTACCTTTCTTTTTAGCGACGTGATGGCAGCCCTTGACAAACAGCCTCAATCAATCAGACGGGGAAAGCAACGCGGTGCACACACCAGAAAATTGCTCAGGTTTTTAAATAGCAGTCGCCAGGGCTGGCTGCGAGCTCTCGCTGCAGCCGAGGTGCCGCGTGGTAGGGGACGCCGCGGGGACACAGCCCTGCCCCTGCCGCCAGCAGCCCATTAAGACCTGGAGTGCTCGGAGGAAGGATCTCCTCCACCATCTGTTGTTTTATTATTAAGAGGGGAGTTTACAAGAGCAGGCCCATATGTTGCCAAACAAATTCTCAAATAGCGGAGCTATTAAGGAAACTGGGTTGGCGAGGCTTTTTTCCCCCTCCGTCTCCTTGATACAGAATATGAAGCACGTTTCATCTTTAAGAATAATGAATCGGAGCCCCCGCCCCGTCTACATCCTCACGCCTGCAGTCGTGGTTCAAGAGAGGGCCGGGGCTGAGCCGTACGATGCCCTTCGTTTCCGTTGCACTCCCAGACAAAAGCCGCTCCTGGGTTTCCCAGCACACACGAGTTTCAGGAGTCGTGGGGGTCCTCCTTCCCAGATTGTGGGGACAAGGTGCTTCACGCAGCTTCTCTCTCGAATAACCTTTTGAACAAGAAAGTTTGCCCCGGAAGGACGAGTCTGGTCCTTCAGCCACCCACCCTCTCTCGGAGGCTGGTATCAGAATTGCATTCTGGGGAGTCTGCACATTCTAGGAGGGAGGCGGTGGTTCTGCACCCAGGAAATGACTAGAATAACTGAGCAGCAACGAGGCTTTGTCCAAAATTCAGAGCCAGGCAGGATGTCAATCAGCTGCGACGAAAATCAGTGGGGCTTTGAAAACTCTGCTTTCAAGACCCATAAGTCGCCAAGGCAGAAAGGTGCTGTAGGAGGCCCGTGAAAAACACGAACTCACTTCACTTTCTGTCTCCCCCCAAGTCCATCTTCCAAGGGAAAAACACTGAGGACCACCCCATCCTTATCTTGCCACCATAATTAATTTTTTTTTAAAAGCCAGCCTACAAGGTGGGGAGCTGCAAAGCAGGGTGGTCTCCTGTCTACACATTGAAGGTGGTTTAGTTTCCTGTGTGTGGCTGGGGGGACCTCAGGACAGAGGGGAGGGGAACATAGATCTCTTTGGTCAGAACTGTCACTATTTTTGGCATTTGTGTGCATCTCCCTGCCGAGCAGGGGCTGCCATCCCGGTCCTCCTTCCTTCTCTCCCTTTCTCTCCTTGCTCTGATGGAGGCCCAGCGGGAAAGGGGCAAGCAAGAGTGTTTCCAAACTACCCCCCAAAACAAGGCTCCAGGGAACCCGACGGCTGGTTTTCTCGGGCCCAGCCCGGGCTTCCTCTCTGCGGGGATTTCAGCCCGTCTTGCACGGGACCCTGGTCCCCACACCGGGCCCACTCTACCAGGAGAGAGCACAGGGGGTGCGTGTGGGTTTGACTCTGGGGGGGACAAGTGGCCCCCCAACACTGAGCAGCCTCTAAATGAGGTGCTCCCATTTGCCTGTGGTTTAAATTGAAGACTACACAAATTCTAGATTAGATGTGAGCTGTTTCTTTTAAAGCGAGTCTCTTGATGAAGGTTGGAAAAAAAAGAACCCAGAGGGTTTTAGCCTAATTTATTTTGAAATAAATAAAGTGGTGATGAGGGAAACACAGTGGCTCCCTGGAGGAGGCGTCTAGAATCTTACAGTCTTGGGAGTGAGAGCAGAGCCCTGTCAGGAGGGATAGGGGAAGATGCCAGTGGATGCTGTTGAGGCTGGAGCCTCCCAGGTTCTGGGAGCCACGCAGGCCGAGGCTCTGAAAGGGGGCTTGGTGGGCAGAGTATCTGGTCTCCCCGGCTTAAAGGGGCCGGGCTGAGCCACTCAGCTGCCTTCTGTGCCCAGTTAGCACGAGGAGGAGCAGGCAGAATGCAGTGCCTGTGCTGGATTCTAACCAGGTGTCAGCCAGGGCAGCACGGGGCCACTCAGGGAACCAGCCTCATCTTTAATCCAAAAGGCTGAGTAAGGTGGGCCTTCAAAGTGGTCGCCAACAGCCTTTCAGGCGCAGGGTCTCCGGGGGCGATGGGTTTTCTCCTTGAACCATGGATGGATCATTTGGGAAGCAAAACATAGTCAGAACCAATGGGGAGGATGGGGCGATCTGCCCGAGTTGTCCCCTTTCAGGGTTGCAGAGGGATGTGTGTGGCGATTGTGCTGAACAGGAGGAGATGGGTGGTTTCCAGAAAGTGCCATGAGCTAGAGGCACTTGTGGGCATCTCTCCTTTCCTTGGGTCAACACGAAGCACCCGTGTGGGCACAGACACCCTGGGTGAGATCCTTGGTGAAAGTTTGGTCCATTCCAGCCCCCAGCTTACAGGGTCGTGGTTGGGACCAGTGAGCAGTGTTGGGAGACCCTCGGAGCAGTGCCTGGCGCACTCACAGTGCTTCAGGGGCCCTTGAAGTGTAGACTCAGAGAACCTTCTGGAAGGAAGCTCCAGGGTCAGCATTCGCTCTGCAACATATCAGACACACGGTCTGGTAGTTTCTGCATGGGCACGTCCAGCGATGGGGCCCTCACGCCCTCCCCAGGCAGGCTGGGGAGACAGACGAGGCCAGAGTCTTGACTGCATGGGGGCCAGAGTTTGAGGATGTCTGCGACCTTGGAAGAAAACCAGGGCCGCCGGTCCTGCCCCTCACGTCCAATTCAAGCTCCCTCACGCCTGCTCTGTGTCACTCTTGCCTCCAGCAACACGGAATCCCCATCCCCGTCACCCCCAAGAGCCCGTGGAGCATGGACGAGAACCTCATGCACATCAGGTAAGACATGACCCAGCTGTCCACCTCTGTCCGTCAGAGGGCACCTGCCTGTGCTGGGCCGGGGTGTCGTTTTGACCCGACACACGTGGTCCCTGCCCTTACGGAGCCTGGGGGGCCTCGGGGAGGACAGACCATCTCTTACTCAACTCATTCACAGCTCTCGTTGCAGCTGTGCTGAGTGCCGGGGGGGAGACAATGGGCGCCTGGCGTCAACTGGGTTATCAGGGAGGGCTTCCCTGAGGAGGTGGCATTCGCAGTTAAAACCTCAAGGATGAAGAGAGATAGCCAGGGTGTGGGGAAGAGCATTTAAAGCAGAAGGAACAGCATGTGCAAAGTCCCCCCAGATGTGGAGCTCGGGGCTGTGCCCCAGAAGACTGAAGGAAATGCCCCGGGCCCTTCCATGCAGCCTGCAGCTCCTGCAGGCAACCGTGGTGGGCCCAGAATGTTCCAGGCAGGGTTGGCAGCAGTTGTTGGGCAGAGAGAAAAGGACAGACTGGACTCGTGTTGGGGGGTGTGGGGAGTGTGCATGGCATAGCTGTGTCCCTCTGCCCTCCCCAACTGACCCCCGTCTTCCCTCTCCCCCTGCAGCTACGAGGCTGGGATCCTGGAGAACCCCAAGGTAATCCCCCATCTCCTCCAAGCCGCCGTCTGTGGTGGTGGCTGTTCCGCGCCGATGCCGGCTGATGTGTTTGTAGCCTAATTTGAAATTTCACGGGGGCCGGGCGTGGGGCTGGGGCCGAGCCCTGCCTGTGTTCCCCGACCCTCGCCACCGGGCCCCCTCGCCTGCCCACTCCGCGCTGCGTTTTAAGACCCCCCCTTCCCTGGCGCTCTTTTTCTAATTGCCACTGGGATGAATAGGGGAAGGAAATATTTCAGGGCGGCGGAGAGCGAGTGTGATTGTGAGACAATAAAGAAGCAATTAGGCGGATGAGGCGCTCGTGGGAGGGCCCAGCCTGTGCCCACCAGCTCTCAGGCCGCGACTGCCGCTGTCGGGGGAGGGGAGGTGGCACAGACTCGAGCCTCAGGACCCATTTGTCTGGTGTGTGCTCCGCGCCCGCCCGCGGCAGGCTGGCCTGATCCCCGTCCCCAGCCTCCTGGGCCTGCCGGGCTGGGCCTCGGCCCCGTTTGAAGTTTAGGATTTCTCTCCCTGGGGGGTTTCCCTTTGTGTCTCCCCCTGCCCACCGTGGGAGATGGGGGAGGCAGGGCGAAATCTATCCTGGGAAGAGAAAAATCTCTTTGTCCTGGAGGGAATGTGTCTCCATCCCCTGGCTCAGCCCCACACCGGGGCGGGCGGCTGGTTTGGGGGTGGGGTGGGCTGCCCGTCTGCTGTTAGGGAAGAAGAGTGCCGGGGGGTGCTCAGGCAGCTGAGCCTGGGGATCCTAGAAGGCCAGCTGGAGGGGAGGATGCCCGGGTGGCCTGGGGAGGGTGGGGAGAGCTGGAGCCCTGCCGGGCAGGGGTCCCAGGATGGCTCCCGCACAGGGGCCACGCTGGCGATAATATAACACGGACCAGTGACGGTTTCTGTGCCCAGGCCTGGGGTTAGCCTTCTCCCGGCTCACCTTCCTTGGCTCCCAGCTGTGAGCAGCCTCATTTTGTGGATAAGGAAACCGAGGTCAGGAGAAGTGACTTGCCCCAGGGCACCAGCTGCTCCATGAGAGTCACCCCATTGCGGGAGCTGGCCCTCTGGCCTCTGAGGTTCCCCCACTGCCCACGCCTGCTCCCCCTCCCTGCTCACTCCACTGGGCCCAGCCGTGTCACTCAAGAGAGCCCACACCCTTGCCCCCTGGGAACTGATGGCCCCACAGGGCTGCTGCCTGCTGGCCACAGGTTTTTCCAGTTCATGCTCCGCTGACCCCACCACACTCGGGCCAGCCACCCCTAATTAGCCAGTCAGTCAGCACCCAGGGGGCGGGAGAGGCTGAGCTGAGCAGAGTGGTTTGCAGGCGGGATGTCCTCCTGGCCTGCTGGGCCCGGAGCATGCTGGGAAACCTCTCCCACGCCTTCTCAAGCCGCCTGTGGCTCTCACCTCAGGACTGGGGCCAGCAGAGCCGAGGCCAGAGGGGAAGTCACCCCGCGAAGTGCTGGGGTACAGGTCGCTGTGTGACCATGAGCAGGTCTCCCCATCTCTCAGGGATCCTGTCTTATGAGGGCAGTGGATGGATAAGTACATGCTAGAGAGTGTCTTTTTAAGGATTCTGCCACCATCAAGGCAGGAGGGTTAATGCTCAGGTCCCAGAGATCCGAAACCCGGGTCTGAATCCTGACTGCCTCTATGGCTGTGCAACCGTGGGCCAGTCACCCAGTGATTCCTCATGCAGTGGGAAACCACAGCACTTCCCTCCTGGATCATCGAAAGCGCTTGGCCTGTCCCTGGCACAGAGCATGGCCTCAGTCATGGAGCCGGGGGTCCTGCTCGCCATCCTCAGGCCGGCTAAGATTCTTTTGGGAGGAAGGGGCCAAGGTCCTCTCAGAATCACTCTCGCCAGGCAGGAAAGGCTGGGCGGGGTGTCAGTGGAGGGGAAGCATTCCCATGGAGAAGTGTGGGGTCGGGCCGAGGAACCCAGGAGCCGGCTTTCCCGGCCTGCCCTGTGGGCACCTGTGCCTGCCAGGGGCCTCCCCGCCACTATACATCCTTGCATCTCTGGATCTCGTGTGCGTGGGGGTAGGTGGTCCTCCTATCGTCACCCCTAGATCCCAGGAACGAGGAGGCAGCAGCTAGGGGCCGGGGTGCACCCTCCACAGTGGAGAAACGCTGCACCCCAGGAGCCGGGGAGACAGAGCTTACGGGAACCGGTGCCCCCTCCCCCTCTCCAAAAAAAGCCCGGAGACCCGCGGAAGGGAGGGTTTGCAGGCAGATGGCGGAGCCATTTTCTGCCTCCGTGAGGGCTGATTGAGGGGCAATGAGGCAGCTAATGCGAAGAAAGATAGAAATTTACTTGCTTTAACTTCATACGGCCTACAGTGAAAGAGTTCATTCAGTCGCCGGCCCGCCATATCTGATGGATGAATAAACCATTTGCAGCATCGATCATGCCTCTGCATCATGGTTTAGTTCATGGGCCATTTGCTTCCAATTTCTCCTTCCCGGCCCTGTTTCATGCTTTCTTTCGCCCTCTCCCCCCACCCCCCCTACTCCCTCTCTCTCTCTTTTTTCCTTCACTCTCTTCCCTCCCCCTCAACCCCCCTCCCATATGACATTGGAAGTGAGGCCTCCCACTGGGGTGGATAAATAGATGGTATTGATACTCGGCAACAAACTATTTGTCATTTGAACTGTGCTTTTAGGATGGAGAGTAAAAAGAAGGCAGGCTGAGCCACCTTGGAATGCAAAGCAAGTGTCACTTTATTTCTATTTAGCTATTTTATTTAATCGGCGCTGTCAGGGTGTCGGAAGCCGCCGACAGCTGTCTCTGACCTCCACCGCGGCGTCTCGGGGACGCTGTCCTGCGGGGTCTTCCCACCGCCTCTCTCCTTCTCGTCCTGTTTGGGACTCCGTTAAGAAGTGTGGTGGGAGAAGGTGACAAGCACCAGATTGAAAAGGAGGGTCAGACACTGCGCAGGTGGAGGTGGGAGGCGGTGGGCTTGGGTGGAGGAGTGGGGTCCCCAGCTCGGGCACCCTGGTTTGAGTTCAGCCTGGGCTGGGGGGGTCCGTGAGCCGCCCCGGGCAGGTGGGGAAGGGGCTTCAGAGTTGTGTCAGTCACCCAGAAGTCCCAAGCCCTCTTTCACGGTGCCTGTTGGCTGAGGATGGCCTGGGGCCTGTCTGTGCCCAGGGAAGGCAGTGGTTGAAACCAGCCCTGACGTCCTCCCCGTGGCTGACGATGCTGGCCCTCTCTGGCCACATTCCCCACGCTGTTTCCCAGCACTCAGGCTGCTAAAGCAGCTGGGAAACAGTGTGGGGAGATGGAAAGAGCACTGGACAGGGAGTCCAGAGTCCGGGGCTGGCTCCCACAGCTGTGGGGATGGCAGTATGGTTTGGACAAGCTGCTTCCTTGGCCTTGGTTTCCTATCTGGTCCATGGAGGCATCAGGCTGGGGGTCCTTAACGACCTTCCTCTTCCTTGGGTGTATCTCTGAGGTCGGTTCTGGGTCCTTGTTCCTGCTGCACAAATGGAAACAGATGAAGGGAGGCAGCTGGCCCGAGTCACACAGCACTTTGGAGGTGTGGGGGCTCCATCTCAGGCCCCGTCTGAGCTCAGAAGTATTGCTGGCAGGGTCAGCTGTCCCAGTTTGCCCAGGACCGAGGGGTTTCTCGGGGTGTGGGAACCGGGATGGTTGGTCTCCCTAATGTAGATCCAGCAGGCAAAGTGACTGCAGATGGAGGGACGGAGGCATTTCTGGTGGCCCCACCTTTCCTGGAGGGGCTCTTTTCAGAGGGGAGCATCACCAGGAGGTTCTACCAGCTGTCCTTCCCACCTGCAGAGCAGGTGACAGCTGGCACCTGGCCTTCTGGACATTTCCTTGGGTGATTTTCACATCCAGCAAAAGACACAAAAACTGTCCATATGCTTAAATTGTAACAGAGTCGAGGGCAGGCATCATGTCCCCCATTTCACAGATGAGGAAACCGAGGCTCGAGGAGGTGGAGCAGCTTGCCCAAGGCCTTGCAGCCTGAGGTCTTGACTCCAGGCTCTGGGGGTCTTTTCCACCCCTCTAAAATCCAACACACATTTGCTGAGGGCCTCGGGGGGGTCCCTGCCCTGTGCCATGGGGTCCATGCTGCACAGAACGGCCCGTCCCCCTCAGCCTCTATTTCTTCATCTGTAGATGGGCTAACAGCCCTTGACCTTCTTACCAAACAGGGCCGCTGCAAAGAAAAAGCAATTGCGGATGGAAAGTGACATGTGAATGTTTGCAGGGCTTTGAAAGCACAGATTTAAGGGACTACACATCCCAGGATGTGAGCAGGTGACACCACCAGCTGGGCCCAGGATGCCCACAGGAGGGACTTCAGCAGTCAGGCCCCAGAGGCCCCATCCCCACCGTGGCAAGGGTCCAAGCTGCAGCCTAGGGGGGCCGGGGCCTCAAGAGGTGGGAGGGAGTTCTACGAGTTCCAGGCAGCCAGCGGCCCCTCCACCGCTGCATCAAGACGAGAGGCCCATTTCCCAACACGCCCAAGAAAAAATATACATAAAGGTTGATGTGTTTTCAAATGGGTTTTTGCTTGGCTCTTCTCTTTTCTCCCTGTGAGTGTTAACCTCGGGGACCCCGGGGAGGGCTCTGCCCGCTGGAGCACCTGCTGGGGTCACGCATAGTCATTACTTTGCGGTCAGCGCAGAATAAACCCCAATTCCCGGTGCCTGCGAGAGTGTGCGCACCCGCTCCCAGGCAGCCCGCCGAACGCCGCCTCGCTCCTCCGAAGTCGCACTTTTCCTGCCTGACTTGTTCCTCTCCTGCTATTCTACCTCCAGCTGTGGGGGCGTCGAAGGAAAAGATGAGATCAAGTTGAGGGGAAAAATTGTCTGATTTCTTGAGCCCTTTGTTTCCCAGGCCCCTGGCAAGCGGGGCTGGCTCCAGGCGGGGGGCTGGGAGGCTGCTGGACTGTGCCAGCCGGTGGCACATGCTGCAGCCCCCTGGTCCTGGAGAGGGGTGCAGATCTCTGCAGGAGCTGGGGTGCAGGGTGTCCAGGGGTGGCATGGCATGGCTTGGCCCAGGACACCCCATCCTCCAACCTCTTTCGTCTTTCATCAGAACCAAGCACCTCCAAACCTCTACACGAAGACCCAGGACCCGGCCAAAGCTCCCAACAGCCCTGACATCCTTGAGATCGAGTTTAAGCAAGGTAGGCACCCACCTCTTGTGGCTCGAGGCAGTGAACTCTGGGGCCCTGGCTCCTTTCCCCTCACCCAGGAGCCTGGGCACAAGCCCTCTGCATCCCTCTGCATTCCTGGAAGCCGGAGTTCAGACAGGGGCTTCAGGGGTTCCCAGCTATCCCCTTCCCCCATGGCATGACCCGTGGAAGCCTCCAGGCTTGAGAGGAAAGCACTTGACTGCTGGTCACATGGGCTCATGGGCACTGGGTCCAGAGCAAGAGCATTCCAGTCCCTAAGCAGTGACTTTGGGAAAGTCACTCCACTTTCCTGGGCCTCGGTTTCCTCATCTGTACACTGGAGTTAAAAGAGCACTGGTGTTTTCAGGGTGTAGAACGAGATCTGTATGGGAAGGATCCAGCACAGGGCCCGGCCCCGAGGAGGTGCTTGGTAAATGGCAGATCTTAAAGAGCCAGGCTCAGGCCCCTCAGCTAGTCCCACGTTAGCTGTTGGATGTCCTACCCACCCCTGCCCCCGAGTTCAAAGCTGCTGCCTCTCTTGCTCCCTTGGCAGTGGGGGTGTCGTGCTCTCCTCGTCTTCGCTGCTATCAGCAAGAAGCAATTGCTGGCCTGGCCTTTGTGCCCAGCCTCCAGCCTGGCACCAGGGCCACCTCTTGCCCTGGAGGACAGAGGGGAAGGCAAGGTGTGCCTGGTAATGGGGAGAGCAGGACCAGGCTCAGAGTGAGGGCTTGGGGTGTCCAAGGAGAGGACCTTTCCAGGAGGCTGCAGAAATCAGGGGGGCTTCCTAGAGGAGGTGGGGCTGGGCAGGAGCTGGAGGAACTGAGAGGGGGCATGAGGGCATCCCAAGCCCATGCAAAGAGGCTGGCCCCTCCATCCAGAAGGTGGCTGCCTGGGCTGGAGCAGGGAACAGAGAGAGAGCTCTGAAGCTTGGCTTTTCCCAGGGCGCCTCAGAGAACAAGGATCAGGGTCAGGGAAGCCGAGGTTCAGATCCCTGCTCTCTCTCGTGCTGGTGTGACCTTGACAACCATTTTCACCCCTCTGGGCCTCAGGCTCACTCACCTATAAAATGAGCCACAGAAATGATGTTCACAAGTGCCAAGTATGGTACGTGGAATGAGACTGTGAGAAATAGAGCCTGTTAGTACTTTAATAATCCGCCTCTTCCTGGCCTTTCCCAAGAGCCTGGCTAAGCCCGTGGGCATCTTCATTGCGTGCCCCCATCTGTTCAAATCCTTGAATTTCACACCACTTGGGAACCAAAGGGCCCGTGGTCTGAGGCCCCTACAGCCAGCTGGAGCTCTAAGTGCCCGCTCTGTCTGACCCAGGCCTGGTTCAAGGGCGGTGGACCTTTTCGGGCCTCATCGCTGAGAAGACGGTGGGGCGCACCCAGCAGCACCTCCAGCAGATCCCCCAGGAGCCCGAGTGAGGGTGGGAGGGAGGCGAGCAGGAGGCAGCGGAAGGTCCCGGACACAAGGCTCTGGCAGCCTTTCCTCCAGCAATAGGGTAGCCCGAGGGCTGAGCCAGAGAAGAGACGTGATCCATTTTAATGATCTGGGCACTGTCTGGAAAAAAAAAGTAGACAGGAGGAGCCCTCCCCCGACCACTCCCCATTCACCCTCTAGTTAATTTATTTGAAGTTTTAATCTAATTATTAACTATTTTAAAGGCTAAGAGGCTTTCTCTGGCAGCAGCACCAACAATGTCAGCTCCTCTCCAGGCAGGCCCCGTCCAAGGCAGAGGCCATAATAGGACTGGGGAGGGAGAGAAAGGGAGAGGGGAGAGGCGGGGGTGGCTAGAAGGGCTTAAGGTTCATTATTGGGCAGACTTACATTTAATAGCAATTTACAACCAAGTTATAAAACCCCTGGAAATGGGGGTTAAGAATGGCGGGGCTGACAGCGCCTTGAGTGAAGCCCTCCGAGCGGCGCCCTGCTAATAAAGACTCGAAAGCCGCTATTGAGCCCTGACTGGCACCCGATCGCCGGCGACATGGTAATGAGCCGGGCAGATGGGTGGGGGATTAGCCGCCAACTTTGAACAGCTTTTCTTTGTCACTGTTACAGCTCTCTTGTTAGCCCCCTAATACATTTATTGCTCATTTCACACCGCTCGAGAAAGTGCCCCTTGCTATTCAAAGTCAACCCCGAACCCACCCACAACCCCCCCTCCTGCCACCACCCCCCTCGACTGCGCCCTCCCTGCCCCGAGCCGCGGCCACCTCCCTCCTGCCCTCCTGCCACTCCAGCCCTGACGTCTCAGAATTCTCGGACCCCTCCAACACCTCGCCTGCTGGAGTGGGCACCGCTTCACCCCCATCAATCAGATGGCTGCGTGCGGGCCTGGGGTGCAGGGTTGGGGGTGCGGGGGTCCGCCTGACAGACGTGGCAGGGGCCTGTGAGTGTGTGTGTGTATGTGTGTGAGCTCAGGCGCACCTCGGCCAGGCGGCCCCCGGGTAACTGGTGGGACAGAAGGTGCTCCGGGGGTAAGACAATGGTGGAGCGTGAAATTCAATTAGTTCAGGGCCTGGTTCCAATTTCACAGCCCCTAAATGCAAAAGGGGCAAAGAGAATGGGAAGGGTGGGGGAGAGCGTTTTTATTGCGTTTTCCCTTTCATTCTGGGGGCGTTCTCGCCCCTTCTCTCCCCCCGGCAGGCCTCAACCTGCACAGGGCTTTGCAGGGAGTCACTTGGACTCCATATCTGTCACATCCATTTAAGGCGTTGCAGGAGGAGGGGAGGGCGGGGCGGCAGGCACAGGCTCCTCTGCGGAGCTCCAGAGCTCCAGCCCGCAGGCCCACTGCCCTCTCCTCCCGCCCTAGGGGTCCCCGTGAAGGTGACCAATGTCAAGGACGGCACCACCCACCACACGGCCTTGGAGCTCTTCCTGTACCTGAACGAAGTCGCGTGAGTGCCCGCAGCCCTGCTCGGCCTCCTGGGAAACCCCCACGTCGGGCGAGCACTGGCCCGGGCCATTGTGGCCGGTGGTCACAGCCCGAGGTGTAGGGACCGAGGAGGACAGGCCTGCGTCCTGCAGGCAGCCTTGGCACAGCCCCATAGGCACGGGGTCTCCTGATTGGCCCTCAGCCTCAGAAGGTAACAACCCCAGGGGGTCTGCAGCCCCCTAGGGATGGTCCAGCTGGAGCCTCCAAGCCCTCGCCTGGATCTGAGTCCAGGGTAGAAGGAAAGATGAGCAGTGGTTAGGGCTGGTGCCACACAAGGCCCCAGGACAGAGGGAACAAGTTGCAAATTGAACTCACTGTGTGACCTGGCAATCCCTTTCCTCTCTGGACCTCAGTTTCCCCACTTGTGCAATGGGCAGCTGGACCAGGTGACCTGGCTCAGATGTCCTCTGAGTCTTGGGTCCGGAGATGGTGCCTGATGCCCTGCATGTGGCTCTGGGTGGGCACAGCTATGCCCAAGCTGCGGCAGCCTGGTGGGTGGCATGTGACTCCAAGCCTGTGGCAGCATGTGACTCTGTTCTCCCCACAGGGGCAAGCACGGCGTGGGCCGCATCGACATCGTGGAGAACCGCTTCATCGGGATGAAGTCCCGAGGTGAGTCTGCTCTCCCCCCTCGGGGCTGCTCCTCGGCTCCCAGAGACCCCAGGGACCCCTGAGATCCCTGTCCCATTCGGGTGCTACTCCACGCCATAGGGGTGACTTTGGGCAAGTCCCTTCTCCCCACCAGACTCAGTTTCCCCCCTGTGAAGTGAGGCCTTTTGCCACCAACTTCCTAGGGTATTATGAGAAGAGCCGTGCCACCAGCAGAGAGGAGCCTGGGGGTCCAGGGAAGGCTCAGAGGAGAGAGGAGGCCAGGGCCAGGCCCGGAGGTCCTCTCTGCGCCCTGGGCGGGTCGGCCAGGTTTGGCGGCGGGCCATCCAGGCCCGATTTCATGGTCATTAGGTCTGCATTGAGGAGGCCGGCCGGCCGGGCAGGGGAGAATCGTGCCCGGG